CCGGGGTGTGCAATGCCTGGGGTGGGGCAGGTGCCTCTCTCCCTAGGAGCGTCTCCGACCCTGAGCTCTTCTTGGAAAGAGCCTAACGGGGAAGCCGCCTGGAAAATTAACCGGGTCCCCCTGTCCCCATGGCCTCACTGGCCACGTCTGACACCACTTCGCCAAGCCTCTGACCATCTGGACAGAGATGGCCCAGCCCTCCCTGCCTCACACGGTACTGCCCACACAGAGGCACGATGCGCTTATCTATGGCTTGCTTTAGAGGAGATTTCCAAACACAGACGGTTTTATCCCTTTCCGGGGCACATCTGAGGACTTGGCCGGCTGCCATGTGGCCGTAAACCCTGGGCACAGTAGGATGTGTGGTCCATGCCTCCTCACTGATGGGATCTCACCAGTTTAATAAGATGCTCAAAGAGTCCGGCCGGCGTGGCTCAGAGGTTGAATGTTGACCTATGAACCAGGAGGTCATGGTTCGATTCCCGGTCAGGACATGTAGCTGGGTTGCGGGCTTGATCCCCAGTGTGGGACGTGCAGGAAGCAATCAATAAATGACCCTCTTTCTCCTCATTGGCGCTCCTCTCCCTCTCTCTCTGAAATTAATAAAAATATACTTAAAAAATAATAAAATGCTCAAAGTGGCTTGTCACCACTGTTTGTCCCCAGACCCCTGCCCACCGGCACCATTTCTCCCTGCTCTGCCACCATGCTGGCACAAAGCACTGCAGAAACAGACTTTCCAGAGGATGGGGCCCAGAAATCAGGATTTTAAAAAGATCCCCAGGTGATTCTAATGTGCAGCCAAGGTTGAGAACCACTGTCCTAGAGGGAGACAAATGTCAGGGGGTCTGAGCTGGGGCTGCTGTGCCGTCTCCCCACCCCAACTGCATGGCCTCCCCACAGCTTGAAGGCAGGGAGGGGTGTGCGAGGCGCTGTGTTTAGAGACAGACCCCAGACCCCTGTGTGGTTCCTCATCTCGCCAGTGGAAGCTGGCAGCCACAGAAGCTGGTTCATGGATCACACTTCAGCTTCCCTCTTTTTTCACTAGACCCCATAGCTGGAGGAAAATGGGTGAGGAGGAGCCACACAATACAATGGTAAGGGACATGGGCTTTGAAGTCAGAAAATCCTGGGTCTGAGTTTAAATTCCACCTTTTTCCCAGTGTCTGGAGCAAGTCCCCTAACCGGTCCAAACTCCATTTCTGCATCGAGAAAGCGAGGGTAGGAACAGGACCTCCCTGAGGACTGACAAGACCCATTGAGTGGGTCCATTGAGCGGGTGTATGCCCTAAGGGCTCCCCAAGGGCCTACAGAGGTAAGCCTGGTAAACGTTGGTGGCCTGTAAGTCCAAGCTTGCTGGGCTCCACCTTCTCTCAACCAACTACTTTTTATACTCACTAGCGCCCTGGGCTGCTGGCGGGAGGGGGCAGCAGAGGCCACGCTGAGCTGCCTTCTCTGGGGTTTTCTGGGGAGCCCAGAGAATGATGGAGGAGAAAGAAACTTTAAACTTTAGCACTCACCAGGACCACTTGGGAATCTGTAAAGACTGTGGATTCCTGGGAACCCCCTCCAGAGATTCTAATCCCATGGTTCTCCGGGCCCTGCCCCAGTCCAAAATCTGCAGTTGGAGCAGACCACCCAAGTATTCCAATGAGGGTGGTTTTGGGGGCTGAGCTCTGAGAACCACTGTCAGAAGTGAAGTCACCGGGGCTCAGGGGCCTTCTGACCTGGAGGTTAGGAAATCCTGGGGGTGAATCCACGTCAGAGCCCCACACTCAACTCCAAAATTCCATCTCTTGAGCCTCACAGATGTCATCCTCCTCCCTGGGGAGGGAGAGAGCGTCCAAGTGTGTCACACCAGAAGACGGGGAGTTTAATGGCTCCCAAAGTGGGTGCTGATCGGAAGTCCCTGAGCAGGAGGCCTTGCAAAATATGGGTTCTTGCGCCTGGTGTGCCACCACCGACCTGTTCACACCTACAACCACCAGATCTCTTGGGGGAGGAGGGTGAGACATGTGTGGGTCGCAGGGCCACTCCTGTTGGTGCCACCCCCTCTCCCAAAGGTCCTTGAAGACAGTTTTATCAGAGATGAGAAAACTGAGGCTCAGAGGTGACTTTGATGGTTTGTTTAGGTGGCGGCAGAGCTCCGCATTTCCACTACCTCTGGAGAGTGCCCGCTAGCCGGGCACTTGCAGGAGGGGAGCCAAGCTTTGGTGCCACA